TCTGTGTTAAAGGGAAGCTATAAAGTTTCCAAAAGGGGATATAGAGCGACTGTTTTAAAGTTATTTAATGCCTAAATGGTTCAGGAAAGAGATAATAGTATTTCAAACCCGTATTTAACTCTATTTCCATGCGAAACATGCGAGGCTCCCAGATGTGCCACTAAGTTTTCAGGCTATTTCCATAGGGACGTTTTGTATAGACGACCCCCCGTGTTAAAGGGAAGGTATAAAGTTTCCAAAAGGGGATATAGAGCGACTGTTTTAAAGTTATTTAATGCCTAAGTTATTAAGGAAAGAGATAATAATATTTCAAACCCGTATTTTAAACTATTTCCATGCGAAAAATGCGAGGCTCCCAGATGTGCCACTAAGTTTTCAGGCTATTTCCATTCGGACGTTTGTATAGACAACCCCCCGTGGTAAAGGGAAGCTATATAGTTTTCACCAGGTGGTATAGAGCGACTGTTTTTAAAGTTATTTAATGCCTAAATGGTTAAGGAAAGAGATAATAATATTTCAAACCCGTATTTTAAACTATTTCCATGCGAAAAATGCGAGGCTCCCAGATGTGCCACTAAGTTTTCAGGCTTTTCCCATAGGGACGTTTGTATAGACAACCCCCTGTGTTAAAGAGAAGCGATATAGTTTCCGAGACAGGATATAGAGCTACACCTTTTACTTCATTTTATGCCTTAATGGTGAAGTAAAGATATAATAATATTTTAAACCCGTATATTAAACTATTTCCATGCGAAAAATGCGAGGCTCCCAGATGTGCCACTAAGTTTTCAGGCTTTTTCCATAGGGACGTTTGTATAGACAACCCCTTGTAGTAAAGGGAAGCTATATAGTTTCCAAGAAAGGATATAGAGCGACTGTTTTAAAGTTATTGTATGCCTAAATGGTTCAGGAAAGAGATAATGATATTTCAAACACGTATTTTACTCTATTTCCATGCGAAACATGCGAGGCTCCCAGATGTGCCACTAAGTTTTCAGGCTATTTCCATAGGGACGTTTCCATAGACAACCCCTAGTGGTAAAGGGAAGCAATATAGTTTCCAAAAGGGGGTATAGAGCGACTGTTTTAAAGGTATTTTATGCCTAAATTGTTAAGGAAAGAGATAATAATATTTCAAACAAGTATTTTAAACTATTTCCATGCGAAACATGCGAGGCTCCCAGATGTGCCACTAAGTTTTCAGGCTTTCTTCCAATGGGACGTTTGTATAGACGACCCCCTGTGTTAAAGGGAAGCTTTATAGTTTCCGAGACAGGATATATAGCTACTCCTTTTACTTCATTTTATGCCTAAATGTTTAAGTAAAAAGATAATAATATTTCAAACCCGTATTTTAAACTATTTCCATGCGATTCATGCGAGGCTCCCAGATGTGCTACGAAATTTTCAGGCTATTTCCATTGTGACGTTTTGATAGAGAAAACCCTATGTTAAAGGGAAGACATATAGTTCCCGAGTGAGTGAGTTAAAAGTTAACGAGAGAGGTTGTAGATCGAAATGATTTACCAACAATTTTACAGGTTGGGAGTTATGCAGAAGAAGCATATGATGTGACTGTAATTCTCTTGACTTTACTACTAAGATAATCTAGTTTACCCTTTCTTTACCAATGTGTTGTATTTAACTTAGATTTTATGGTAATGTTGCAGCCATGTTTCTTATTTCGTTTCCGATGAAACTTTGATCATTGGTAACATTACATAACATTTGCAAAGGATGGGCATACAAAAGAACTACACAAAGGTCAAACTACTGATCATATGAATCATATTATATATAGTAGCTTCACGCGATGTATGCTCAGTTGGTTTATAAGATTATTTGATGAGAAACAAATGCATTATAACACAAGAACATACTGATATATATCTTTACTATCTATATGGCTACTTTACCTATTTGACACGCTTGATGATAAAATAGTTGGAACTAATTGAAGATGATATTGTATAATATAAATGCATTCCCAGCCGGAAGTAAAGAACGTGTCGTCTGTTACAGACAGCTTGCAGATTAATTATCCAGCCGTCCTCGTCTTTATCAGTTAGGAGGTGGGAGATTTGTTCATGTGAACCTTCACTGAAGGGATTTGTTCCGGGGCCGCGCTGCAGTTTATTTGGAGATGTCGTATCAGATTACAAAAGTGCTGTCATCATTTGGCCTTGACGTGTTGACGGGAGAATGGCGTTGAGCAGCCGGCGGAGAGGGTTTCTTATTTAAGATGACCCAGACTGGAGAAATAGAATAAAAACGCATAATTGAATTCAATAGAAAAACACTGGAACATGCATGCTGAAACAGAACAGTGAACTAAAATGTACCTAAATATAGGTGGCTGGAGGGGTTGGTGCAGCGTTCGAAATACCTGCCTGCCCGACCGTCCGAGACGGGTTGATTTTAACTCGGGCTGTGAGATTTTCGAATCCCCCTGCCCGACGGTCGGGTTATATTTTATAGGTGAAAATATTCTAAATAATTCCCGATGATAAGCATTAATTCACATGTAAAGATGAATGATAAAATGTAACCAAAAAGAAACCCCGTTAGCTTTTAGCCAACCTAACATTTAGCGATGCGCTTATGCTACAAGCAATCAGTTTTCATATTTTTAATTAAACTATCCTGAGAAACATATGATTATAGCGGGCAGGCAGGTTTTGGTAAGGGCTGGCAAGTATTTCTGCTAGCCAGTCCTGTGGTCTGGCTGAAATTGTTGGGAGTTTCATACCCTGGTTGGTGGTGGGGAAATTAAAGGAGCTCTTAACTGTTTGGACAATATTTTAAAAGAGTTCAATTTAACTATAAACCCCCACAGTATAGACTTTCTTGGTCAAACTCCTCTCACGGTATTTACTTTCGAAACAAGAATATTATATGAACAGGGTGTTATATACTACCTAGTATGCACTAGACAAATAATGTAACATGTGAATAAGTATAAGATATGTGAATAAGTACTATAATAAAACACAAAAATGTTATCAATGCTTTGGGAAAAGCCTGTGTAAGTCTATGTCTCCTGACCCCGGGTTCTATCAGATAAAGGACAGTCTCGCCACAACACAGCTGTTGCTAAAAGGGGATATAAACAATAACACAGAGATGTGGGTCAGCTCACTGGCACTTTTTACTGGCACATGTGCCGATCAGTGGCATGAGCCTTCCCCATATGACAGGGTCTTATGATCCGTGCTGTATGCGGTCGAGCGTTGTCCTGCTGAAATACACGGTTGCCGTTGGTTGTAATTGGGAGGACGTGTGGCAGGAGAATTTCGTTGATGTATCGTTGAACCGTAAGACTGGCCTGGATATGAACCAAACCTGTCCTGCCATGATGAGAGATATCCGCCCTCATCATAACGCTACCCCCACCAAACCTGTCCTCTTCCTGTAAGCAGTTACCGGCGTAACGTTCTCCCCGATGTATGTAGACCCGTGCTCTTCCATCCCCTCGACGGAGGAGAAATCTTGATTCTTGAACCAGACATCTCTCCATCGACGTTGAAGCCAGGCCCTGTGTTGACGACACCAATGCAGCCGTTGTTGACGATGTTGTCGCCTCAATATGACGCGTCGAACAGGACGTCTTGCACGTAGACCTGCTACTCTTAAACGGTTTCGTTGAGTCTGGTAGGAGATTCAGCGCAGTCAGGGCATTTGGGTGCAGTTGGGGTGGCTGTGGTCGTCCTTTTACGTGGGTGGCGCAGTCGGATGTGGTGATCTTGGGCGGGGTCGTCCCGACGTGTTTCCCCACGCTGTTAAAACCGATCCCATAGCCTTGTGATTGTGCTGGGCGCTACATTAAAAAAAACCCCAAAACACCCTGGCTACAGCTGATCGAGATTCCCCTGTCTGCAAGCGGCCTATGACGTTGTTTCTTTGAACTTCTGTTAATCTTTGCATGTTGTTGAACTGTCACTGTTCGAATGACGCAGATGCGAGGCAATTAAAAACCCTGCACTTTAATACCGTTCATAGTGCTGCTGCATACGTTTTCACGTCGGAATGCTGTTTATCGGGACTAATGTTGTAGTGATGTTGTACACTAGTGTTTGTACCTTGTGCAATCCTTCTATATCCTTTTATATCATGTTCATCTGATGTTCTTCGCATATATGTACTTCTATAACTGACTGTAAACATTCTCTAATAGTTGATTATAAACATTCTATTGTTGACTGATGATGTAAATAAAATTCTGTGTCTGTCTAATAAACTGACTGTTTATTCTCTCAGGACTTGTGTTGTGTGTGTTGGTCGTGTACAGTGGCACCTCTGCTAAGCGAGCTGATTCCACGACTCTTGATTTAAAGATCATTCATATATTTAGTGTACCAACAAGATTATACATTTTCAGCTATTACAGTTCAAACAATTCACGTTTCGTAATTATTGTCACGATAAAGGATTTGCATCTATTTATTAACTCGTCCTTTCATAACCTTGAACGTTTGTGGTGTGGGATCCATCAAAAGTATTCAAAAGATTTTAGTTTGGTCAAAATTCAGTCTCGGTCGTTACCATCGACATGTTGACTGTATCATGTTGTCTAATCAAGAAATGACATTTCCGTACCAGGAGACAGTGACAACAATATGAATTATGAATATAAGCGCATTTTTAATAGTCCAAGCAACTTATAGTTTTCAACCTTGCAGTTTCATACATAATTTCTCAGAAACGTAAATTAATTTCCTTGCGTGAGAACTTCATAGTAATGTTCATGAGATTCATCGACTGCCACAGCCTTGTCTACATTTGCACGAATTTAGTCTGCTTCCCCCAACCTATTGTCATCATAAACTCGTATTGCTGCACAAAATTATTTTTTCAGAGGCTCACTCGCCTCACCTAACGTTTTCCGTCAGCCGCTTATTTTAGCAGACGATATTTTATGGTGGGCGATATCGGTCCTTCTCTTCGGAAGGGAGAGCAGCGACACCAAGCGGAGTAGCCGGGGAACCAGTCTAACCGTAAGCTGGGCCCCGTCTCTCATATCATGTCCCGTGATCCTCAGCGTCAAATGGCAGGAGGAAGAAACGAAACGAGTCCGAACGAGACGAAAGACGAAACATAAAAAAAACCCTAACCGATGTCCGACAAGAATCACAGGTATACCATGCGTGTATCACTTGGGGTAATATTCGCGGTCTCGTGGCTTGTTGCCACCGCGCTTGACATCATTTCGACATACGCATTTTCTTGTTGTGTTTGAGAACGTGTATAGGCCTAATAGGTGACCCACTGACCGTTTTCTGATCGTTTAGTTTATGTTTTAAAATGTTTAACGTGTGATACACACTTTGCCATAACTAACATACTTGGTTTGTTTCTTGATTAACGCCGCACTCAATATTCCAGCCATATGACGGCAGTCTGCAAATAATTGAATCAGGACCACTGATTGAATGATGATTGACATCATGAGCATCGATACACGCAATGTGGGATACGATGACATGCACAACCACGTCAACGAGCCAGACCACCCGAATCTGATAGTCGCCTCTTACAACGACCATGGGTTGCTGAAGATCAATTCTAACCCGGACCTTCACGGGTACTAGTTTGTAAATGTTTCTCTTGATTATTTCATCGTCACGGTATGGCTGAAAATGAAATACTGCCGATGTGATGTAAAGCATAAACTCACTCACTCACTTGATTAGTTAGGCATTGTCCGCGTATGTGTGGTTACATGTGTCTTCAAGTTCCGTGAAATGATCAAGTTTTGTTACAAATCATAGATGAGTCACTGAGAAACATTACACATGGAACCCGTGAAGATTCCGGGATAGAAAAGGTCTTCAGCAACCCATGCTTGCCGTAAAAGGCGACAATGCTTGTCGTAAAAGGCGACAAACGGGATCGGGTGGTCAGGCTCGCTGACTTGGTTGATGCATGTCATCGATCCCAATTGTGTGGATCGATGCTCATGATGTCGATCACTGGTTTTTCTGGTCCAGACTCGATTATTTTACAGACCGCCGTCATATAGCTGGAATATTGCTGAGTGCGGTGTTAAACAACAAACAAACAAACAAACAAACAAAACATTACACATGGATGTTGAAATATGTTAAGGGACAGTGACTGCAACCCTGCTCCAGATACCTCTATTTTGTGATTATTATTGCTGATTGAAAAATCTGTGAATAGTTCTAGTAGATAGGTGTCAAGTTTGTTTACATTGTGCCGGGGTCATCGTCTGCAAACTATTCCTACACGACGTGAAACGCACATAAAATCAGAAGTGGTTATCACTAATTAACCACTTTAAATTTAATAAAATTAACTAGTCAAATTACCTCCAACTTCAGTGTCATGGTAGAATATGCAATATTCACCCTTGTGACCATGGTATGCTTGTCGTAAAAGGCGACTTACGGGATCGGGTGGTCAGGCTCGCTGACTTGGTTGATTAATGTCATCGATCCCAATTGCGTGGATCGATGCTCATGATATTAATCACTGGATTGTCTGGTCCAGACTCGATTATTTACAGACCGCCGTCATATAGCTGGAATATTGCTGAGTGCGGCGTTAAACAACAAACCAACCAACCAACTTGTGACCATGGTTACTTGAGTAATTTTAATATTTAAGTGACATGAATTAACATAACATCCATGACTTCAAGAACATATTATTTAGGAGATAAACATTCTGTGTTTTCAATGTAGAGCAGGGTTAACTGTAGATTTAACTGCGCTAAATTGAATGTGGAACTGACCTTACAGCGTGAGGTTTTAAATGTTAAATTAGCTCTACCTAGCTCTACATTGAAAACACAGTATGTTTATCTCCATTCTACCATGACTTAGTAAAACGTGAACTCTTTAGTGTAAACATGTATATTGAGTAAAACGGCATGTGTTGAGGATTTTGAGTGGGCTGTCGATCACCGACAACAGCCTATGAACAAAATATGGCGCTGTATAAGGTCAAGTTGTTTGTTAACACTGTAATACTTCACTCGAACATGTGATAGGCATTGAAAGCATATGACATGTATAAGCATATAAGCTCAGCAACTTGGTAAGCTAACATGAAGTGGGCACCCCTAAAAAAACTAAGCAAGCTTTGCAAGCTTTTGTTCTACACCGCATATCACCATTATGACGTCATATCGTCATATCGCTCACTGTGACTCAAAACATATTTCGTCACAGTCGTATATAGAAAAGCGCCAAATTCCAAGCTCTCAGTTCCGAAAACTTAAAATACATTCTCTTTGTAGATTTGTATCGTGTTTTCTGCACAAAATATATTGCCACACATCCTTTAAATAATGTAGTAACTGCAACTCTGCATTTTGTAACCTGTAATTGTAGCTATTATTATTTAAATATGCCTACCAACAATGACTGAAAAAAGTACTATTCTATGAAATGAAGCTTCTACGGTGGGTGATGCGACCATCAAACCTGCTGTTTCTATCAGAGGGGGTTTATTGTGATTTCATAGCCTCAGATTGACCAATCAGAATTGTGTAATTTCCGAATTCATGATAGAATTCTTTTTAATGGAGCTGGTGGCACAATATTTACTCTCCTTCATAACATATTGCTTATCATTGTCAGCATAGGATGTGTAACAGATTGAAATGTTGATCAAATGCCATTTCCTCGCTGTCATTATCGATCAATTAATTTCTCTTCCGCTCCAGGGGGCACGGGTGGTACAGTGGTCCAAGGCGCCGCGATTCGCTGTGCAGAGTTGCGTCCCTTGGGCACGCCAGAAACCTATGATTGTGGGTTCGAATCCTGGTTCGCCCTGATTATGTTTCTAGGTTTGTCAGCACCATACCCGTGCTCGTGGGCTGCACCGAAGTGGTAAACGTCTGAAACCTGCATCACGTGGGGCTTTCCTCCCACATTAAGCTGACATGCCGCGATATAACTGGAATACTGTTAAAAGCGGCGTTTAACTCAACTCAACTCAAACTCACTCAACTCACTCAACTCACTCACTCACTCTTCCACTCCAGCTCCCTCTGGTGTTTTATGAAAGGAGCTTGTTGATGGTGCGAGTCTGTGGGAAGGTTCTCCATCCTCCAAGACCGTCCCTCTGACATGGTGACATTGGCCTCCAGGAACCTACAAATGCAGCCAGTAAGTACATAGATGATGATTTCGTTTTCACAGCAAACAACTCTTATGTGATGTATATAGAATCTCACAGGAGTTGTTTGTGGTAGAATTTGCCCCTCGTTTTGGATGTTTGTGACAAGAATTGACTTGAGGATTGTGTTGTTACAATGTGTAACATGACAGATTGTGTCATTGTGTCCTTACAATTTGGACAATTGTCACACTATCAACTGCCCTGTGTGATTCAATTATTTACAGACCATATAATAAAGCTGGAATATATCATTAAACAACGTCATATATTCGCTAACTTATCTAAAATGTGATATTTTATGCATTTTTTCATATAAATTACCAACAAAAATGTTAGTAACAAATTAAAATATTGATCTATTTGTTTAATGATTTTTGATACCAAGATTAGTCCTGTATTACTTTGTGGTTCAGAAATATGGGGAGTGGATGCGGACGAAGACATTCCAACCAGACATATGTTGCCTGTAAACCCTTCTAATCTGTTCAGGGGCGGTCGGGTAACCTAGTGGTTAAAGCGTTCGCTTGTCACGCCGAAGACCCGGGTTCGATTCCCGACGGGGCAGTCGGGTAGCCTAGTGGTTAAAGCGTTCGCTCGTCACGCCGAAGACCCGGGTTCGATTCCCGACATGGGTACAATGTGTGAAGCCCATTTCTGGTGTCCCCCGCCGTGATATTGCTGGAATATTGCTAAAAGTGGCGTAAAACATACTCACTCACTCACTCACTCACTCTAATGTGTTCAATGATTGTCTTCAAATCATGTAGATAGGTGAATGTGGCGGATGTCCTTTGTATATATTCACCTGAAACACTGATGTTAGATACTGGCGTAAGACAATTATTATTCCTGACATATGTGAAGAAATGTTACAATTTATGAGTTTTAAGATTGTGTTTATGGAAAGACTAACTGGGCTTCAGAAATAAAAGGACCGCGGTCTAGGCCTAGTGGCAGAGTGTCCGCCCGGAGAGCGGAAGGTCCGGAGTTTGATTCCCGGCCGCGTCATACCAAAAGACGTTAAAAGATGGTACTTGTTGTTACCCTGTCTGGCGCTTGGCATTAAGGGGCTAAAACAAGGACTGGTCGGCTCGGAGTCAGTATACTGTGTCTGAGTGGGGTATTCATGTTAAACTGCGGCATGGTATCTCAGTGTGCTAGCACTATAAATCGGTATCAGTCCGGACTAGTACAAGCAGCCACACACAAACAAACACACAAACAAACACACACACACACACACACACACACACACACATGCATGCACATCGCTATATAAGTGCAATAATCTTAGATGCGACGTTAAACCCAATTTCACCTCACCTCACCTCACCTCAGAAATAAAAGATATTTTATGCAGGTTTGGCTTCAGATACATCTGTCAACAAGAATGTGTATATAGCTTTAAAAAAGGTCTTGGTTCTCAGGCACCGCCGCATCATCAAAAAACCCGCTGTTTTCGTTTTTATTTCCATGTCTTGAACACATGACCCCGGCAGCGAAATTCTGCAATGCTATAAATAATGTGATCCAATAAAGAGTGCAGTTACTTCCCTTTACATGTTCACTGCTTTACTGTGCATCTTGTGTTATGGTCATGGCAACAGTAGGAGTTGCTGTGCTTGTTTTGCCATTTGCATATTTGGTAATTGAAAACAAAAAACATTACCAAACATGATGATTTACAAATTCAATGGAATTTGTGCCAGACAGTGCTTCATACACAGGGATTAAGATTACACATGTATTTTTGTCGTAAAATAAGGCGGAAATAGCAATCAGCTGTTCACACATTTTCTCCCCGATCTTTGGGTGATTAGATTTAAAAATGCTAAATATCATGGCCAATATCATAACTGAGAAGAAATATCAATACAGTGAAAGGAAGACCAAAGACTTTGTATCTCTGATGACTAATGTTCGTTTCAAGGTGAATTGGTGATTTGTCGATCAGTTCAAACATGATATCGTCAAAATTAATGTAAACAAAATTAAATGAAATCTTGGTTAAAAGTTACATAATAGTAACTACCATGAGTCCACATACGCAGTGAACACTTTCATAGCCACATAGTGTCATAACAGGACTAGCTTGTGTACTTCAGTACCCATTCGTTGACATGCTACTTCTGGTGTTACATGCACACGATAACATGCACAAGCGTTGTGAAATAAAATCGAAGCTCATTGAGTGCATGTATTATGCGCACACTGATAGTTAAATAGTGTATTTTAGTCATCAAGGATTTCCCAGGTTGATTGTAAGCTGTTAATTTGGTTGCATACTTCCGTAGTTTGAACAACATAAAAAACAACAATAAAAGGCTGCCAACCCGCACTATATTTCATAAGCCATTACCTGAGAAGCAATTCTTGTATTTTTTCAAGCCTAAGGTGTATCAAGGTTTTATATCTGAGGTTGTATATAGACTGAAATCATCCTATGGGCAAGATTAGCATGCAACACTTTTTTCTTGTTCTAAATTGGTAACCTATGCCTCTTTCAAAATGTCCTTTGGCCTCGAATTCTATATTAAAAATCAGTGCACAAAGTATCCCCTAAGATATTCACGATATCTCTGAAGTGATTGGTTCTCACACATAGGAAGAACAGTGGCAAAGCATACCTTGTTGTTCTGTATGTTGCATCAAGAAAGACGATATCTTTCCCGCATCTTTATAGCAACATTTTTGCCAGTCCGACAGGTAAACGAGAAGCAAACTCTGACTTTCTGATGATTCTCCACTTTGATCTGTTGAACTTCAAGGGCAAAAGTGCCAACTGTTACAAGGGGTTGTTTCCAAATTTCAATTTTATTTTATAAAAATTCCAGATCTCACAACCCCCCTGATCAGTTTTAAAAGGTCTTCTCAGCTGGGAAAGGTGAGGTGAGGTGAAATTGGGTTTAACGTGCGGTCAAAGATTATTGCACTTACATAGCGACATGCATGCACGTGTTTGTGGCTGCTTGTACTAGTCCAGACTGATGCCGATTTATAGTGCTAGCCCACTGAGATACCATGCCGCAGTTTAACATGAATACCCCACTCAGACACAGTATACTGACTCCGAGCCGACCAGTCCTTGTTTTAGCCCCTTAATGCTGAGCGCCAGACAGGGTAACAACAAGTACCATCTTTTAACGCCTTTTGGTATGACGCGGCCGATCCCGGACCTTCAGCTCTCCGGGCGGAAGCTCTACCAATAGACCACGGAGGCGGTCCAGCGGGGATAGAACCTTTCATTGAATCTCTTTAGCATGGTCTTTTCTGCGAAGGGACATTCAACAAATATCTGGGTATGTCGCTTCATCTTGACATTGTAAATGAACAATTTGTTTATAACCAGATATTATGATAATAGGATTAGATTGCGTACTTCAGTTCGGATTTGTTGGCTGGTTTTTCCAGTGTTACGTGATCGCGGTGATCAGCTGATAATGTTTTCTGAGATGGGGGTAAACATAGTGTCATTGGAAAACTTAAGTTCATGTTAGTAAATTTTGGGAGCTATGCTTTACCGCACACTGTGACCGAGTTAGCGCTATATTGAAGAGCGCAATAGCGAGGGAACACTATATATGTATCCATTCTCTGCCAACTAAGGTTTGTTCAAGGTGTCAATAGTGGTAATATGATCGTGGTTGCTGTGAATGATTTGAGTTGGTGCTGTAACGGTATGTGGTAAATTGGACCACATGGAACAGGGCAAAAGGAAGTTGTTAGTATCTGAGGGACGCATGATTTTGCCGATTGTGCGGAGAGTCATGGTCATTCCCCAATGAACCCCAATTTCCATTGTAATTAGTTTTACTATCAAGCCCTTCTCGACTAACAAACTGATTACTTCCCTAGGGTCATTGGTCAACTCGGACATACTCATATAATCAAATACCATCAAATACTCTGTCAGACTGGAAGGCGCCGAAAGATACATAATCATGTTATTTTGACATTCCAATCAAGCAGTATTACTCAGAAATATTTGATCACCACAAGACTACCAATTTTGTTCCATCCATTCATCTCCCTTCTGACATAGACCAATTCTACTAATTCATTGTACTAATGAAAAGTTGTCTCTATCACTAAGAGAAGCAAAATCAATAATCATTTGCCCTGGGGGTGATCCCCTCACCCTGTACAGTCACTTCTCTCATATGCGTCTATATTTTACCCCAAAGCTTAATTTAGTAAACTACATTTTAAGTAAATATTAAAAACCCTTTTTCTAAAATACCCTGGTTATAATTTACAGACCCAGCTTAATACTATGAAGGGTCGGGTTGTTCAGATACATGGAGATTGTTGTTAACGTATACAAATTAAAAGTTATTTTCAGTTGGGGAAGCATCCTATCTTTCAAGGACAAATAGACATACAAAGACATCTCGCAATGATGATAGATATACATGTAACTTGTTAATGCAAAACACTCTGCATGAAGTAGCCAGTTGCACATGTATTTACTGAATTATGGTAAATCGCCTAACTATATGGCTGTACCATGTACATCATTAATGTTGCATCACTTTAAGCTGACTATCATTGAGAATCTTGTGTTCTGATTATTGTACCGTTTTTAATATTAAATTCCTGTCTGATATTAGAACATGTAAAACATGTTTATATACCATTATGAATAGTTACTTTATATGTGTAATAATGTCGTTTATGACTGTTGGTGTTTGTATGATGAAATACTTAATAATGATTGGTTGCTTAAAACGCTGATCATCTCATTAAATCATGGAACGCTAGCAGCTCTGATGTCATCACTTATCCTCAATTCATTCATTCTATTTTAAGACAAAATTACCATGAGACTACACTGCTACGATATTGATACATGTTGTTTAATATGTCAATTAAAATATATGTTAGATTATGTGTAAATAACATCTTGAATAGATAAATCAAATTAGAAAGGTTAATCGTGTATCGTTATTGAACAAAACACATACCTGTGAGGCATTAGCTTGACATA